AAATCAATAAATTCTACATACCATATAGCAATAATTGTATTCAGTCATATATCTATTAAATGTCTAATCAGGCAATCTCAGCTCTGATGACAATAACAAATACTGCTATAATTGAATTTAAAATCACATTATCGTTAATATATCTATAATTATACATATATATGAGAAAACAGCATAATGGTCAAACGTGTTAGTTGAAATATACTTTATAATTCTTAATACTTTTGTATTCATGATTGGCAGTTATCAGATAGAAATATATTGGCTGTATTTTTTTATTATTTGTTTAATAATAGGTAGCTACAACGGCGAATCTTAAAAAAAAAAAACTTTTAATTCAGTGCATTTGTCTTTGCAATTATCGGGAGGGGCGATCAATTTGGTCGAAAGATCAGTTCGTGTATTGCGGCTTATTTCGTTCCGTCTGGTCTTCGCGTCAGGTCGGGTTGTCGTTTTGTCGGGTTACACGAACTTTCAAAACATGCTCATAAACTCAGACAATGCCGAAGTGTCCATTACTGGTCTTTTTAAGAACTCTTGCGATTACTAATCTCGTATTAAAAAGTGTCATTTTTACAGCGTCAAAGTGACACGGCCGCCTTTTTCTTGAGATAATGACAATGTTCTTTCTTGAATTTCGAAAAGGTGCTTGGTACACCGACCTACCCTTTGGAAAATTATGAGTGCCATCAAATTTAGCTTTAACGGAATGTTTACGAAAGTCCGTGATGATTTTGAGTCATGTGCGCAGACATAAGCAGTCAGATAAAACTTACAAAAAAGCCAATAGTTAAATACTTCGAAAATAACCCAAAGTGAATAAAGTGCCCTCATCGTTTAATGCGTGGCAGTATTTCCCAAGTCAACCTGCTGTTAACGTATATTTTTAACAAATAATGCTGTGTACAGGTTTATTACACATCAAGGAGGATACTTTTACATGAAAATATTCCAGGGATTTGAAGGCAATTGACCTACAGTATTCATTTGTCAAGAAATATATACTGACAGCAGGATGATTGTACATACTCTTCCTTATGCCTTTTGTATACACTGCCTCGTTGAGGGCTTCATATCCATCGTGCGATAATCGCCGTTTTCAAAGTATTTGTGTTGCAGTGTTCTCCAATTTGCCATTGTCATTATTCGAGAGGATGCATCACAAAAGGGCACTAATATAGAACATGGACACGGTTTTGATCCTGGGGCCTCACAGTTACGAGGCCATTACTTTTCCACTGAATCATGAATGTACCTACGCAGCGGGGGCTAGGGAAGGGGGCACCCCCACAAATACCCCTAAAAAAGAAAAAAGAAAGAAAAAAAGAAAGAACATGCAATAAATTATCAAAGTTTCATTGCATTTCCCCGAAAAATTCCTCTGTGTGGCCATACCTTGAACCATAATGCACGTACAGAGGAATTTTTCCTATTGGGGACCAGGGGAAAATGCAATAAATTATCGATAACTTATTGCATTCTCTTTGTTTTTTGTATTCGTGAGGCTGCTCCCTACCCTACCCCCCGATGCGTACAGTCATCATTCAGTGGCAAAGTAACGGCCTTGTAACTGTGAGGCCCCAAGATCAAAACTGTGTTTTATATTGATGTATATTGATTATACTGATGTTCTATATTATTACTGTCAGTTATGATGTAAGGACTAGGTCAGGAGCGGATCCACACTTTTTTTGAGGGGGGGGGGGGGGGCCCAAATTTGAAATTATGCGAGCCAAATATTGGTACGTAATGGTGACACCGGCAGTGTCACCAGTGTCACCGTTTGGGGGGGGGGGGTAGACAAAAAAAAAATCCCCATCAGCCCAGTTTTACATGCAGGCCCCGCTGAACGTTTCTCGGCGGGGGTCAAGGGGTGGAGTCCCCAGAAGCTCAGGGGTATAGGCATTTTATTACTGTCAGATGAGCATATTTTGATACCTTATTTGTGACACTGGCAAGACACAAATTGACGTGGGGTCCAGGGGGCGGAGCTTCCAGAAGCTCAGGGGTTTGTATACATTAAAATATCGTCAGATGAGCACATTTTTATACCTTATTCGTGACACTGGCAGGTCACGAATTGGCGTGGGTCCAGGGGGCGAAGCCCACGGAAGCCCAGTGGTGTTAGGCAAAAAATAACGGTTAGATGAACAGGGGCCCAACCTAGGGACATTGGTTGGGTTCAGGGGGCAGAGTCCCGGAAGCTCAGGGCTTTAAGGTTTAATTACGTCAGATGAGCATAATGATAACTTATTTGTGACACTGGCAGGTCACTAATTGGCGTGGGGTCCAGGGGGCGGAGCCCCCAGAAGATCAGGGGTTCTAGGCATTTTATAACGGTCAGACAAGCCTCAGGGCCCTGGTGGTGTCCAGTGGGGCGAAGCCCCGGAAACTTAGGGGTTTTAGGCATTTAATTACGGTCAGATGAACATATTTTGACATTATGGCACTGGTAGGTCACTAATTTGTGTGGGGTTCAGGGGGCGGAGCTCCCAGGAGCTCAGGGGTGTAAGGCATTAAATTACCGTCAAATGAGCATCCGGGTGCCTGATTTTGGGCCCTAGGTGAAATCCAGGGAGCAGAGCCCCCGGAAGTTCAGGGGGTTTTAAGGCATTTAATCACGCTCAGATGAGCAATTTTTTTTTTGCCCCTGGAAATTGGAAAATTACGTCGTCTGATATTTCGTTCATTGGCTTGGGAGGGGGGGGGGGGGGGGAGGGAGGGAAAGGAACACCTTTTTTTTTGCTTTCTTTAGCACACACACACACACACACAAAATAAAAAAATCTGTCCCCTTTTCCATTCTTTTTTTTTGTCGCCGGGGGGGGGGGGAGCCGGTTTTCTATTCACTCAATTGAGTCTCCAAACTAATAAACCCAGGAAAATATATTGTCGAACAATTGAGGAAGGCAGCCCAAAATTTAAGATTTTCTTTCGCTTAATGTTGTACCTTTGTAAATGATAGTTGCCCCCCATCCCCTCCCACACACCACTGCAATGTAGGGCTTAGCAATTGATTGTACGATATGTAGACTGATATGTCTTAATATATTTTGGTCTTGTATAGTAAAGGGCTCAATTACCAATATTGCAATAAATCCATCTCCAATTTATCTTTTTTGCAATCCAGGGGCCAGATGTTAATCGGTATTAAAGGAATAGTCGAGTTCTGTTTTCAGACCGCAAATCCCTTCGAAGTGCACGGTTACTGCTCTTATTCTTATCTATGACATTTATAGTGCCCTTGTAGAACCTAGAATTGCTATGAAGGTAATTTTAGACCCCAAAATGTGCGAAATTTAGCCAATACGATCATACCAATTCAGCTCCACACAAAAAAAACACGGTGACCGTTAATTAATTATTTAATTAAAAATAACAAAACATGATTCGGCTAATTGTGGGTAATATAAGCACCACGAAAATGCCAACAAAAAAGCCAACATCGGCATTGGCTGAAATACGACGTAAAAGGCGTTATTTCGTTTTTTCAAATTTTTCAAAATATCTAATATTTGTGGTGGTACACAAGTATTAGAAGTCGTTATATTTCAGCCGTCTCTGAACTGATTTTGATCAAACAAAGATGATTTTGCCATTTAAATATTATGTTCTTTCAAATTTGAAACTCAGTTTTTCATTATCTCACAACAAATTATTTTGTGTAGCGCCCTCTGCAACATAACTCAACTATCCCTCTAACCATTTCGCCATTAGACCATTCTACTAAATACACTAAATGAGACATCAAATTGTACTAGACCTCCTTGACTTCCATGGTGCTCGCACATTAGGAGATGAATGTCTCGCCCAATACAGTGCTGGTAATTTCTCCTTTTTGGGAGAAGCTTCACAAAGTCCCCCCCCCCCCTGCACACAAGCACACACACTACCACATATAACCCACACTTCCGTACACACCACACACACACACACACACTAGTATTGATATATCGACTGCTTTAAAGAGAAGGTTGAGTTCTGCGAAGAGGTGAAAAATAATTTGTGAGCATTACTCATTCTTATTATGCAAGTGTGGAAGAACATCAGATAAGACATGTTCCCTGAAAGGCATGGCTCTTCAAATGCCTTAATATTGTAAATATGCATGTAACATCGTAAAAATCGGGGGGGGGGGCCGGCTTTTTACGCCACGTGTTCGTGTAGTCCCATATACATCTTTCTGTGTACAGTGTTTGTAACCATACCAAGACTTGGCCAAATTTCTTATCATTTTGATGATTCCAGAACCTTGCAATACACACAAATTCTTATATGCTAGATGATCAACCTTTTCTGGTCGGTTCAAACCGTTTCTTTCACAATGCAATCGCATGACCAGAACTCAACTTCATCTTTAAGAGGCCTGGCTGTTTTATTTGCTCAATGGGACTGCACATCATCCCATGACCCCGAGGCGCGCCTGGTTAGGCGGCGCGCCGAGGGGTCGTGGTAGGATGCAACGTTCCCGAGAGCCAACAGACAGGCTTCGAATATTAAAGCAATCGATATGTCTTTTATATGCCGAATTGTAACAAAAATTCTTACCTTATTCTTTTATTGAGTAAAGATTGGTTAAAACATCCGGAAAATCTGAGACACTATTTGTAAATCTTCGCTGGAAAAATGACTTAAAGTTTCAATCATTTGGGAATCGCAGGCAAAAAGCATTGTATGGTGTCCGCGCTCACAAAAAGACAATTTAACTCGTAAACCAATGGTGATCGCAGCATGAGGGCATATTTAAAAAGACTATTGACCGGTAGACGGGTATGAGGGCACTTTTTAAAAGACTATTGACTGGTAGGCGGGTATGAGGGCACTTTTTAAAGACTTTTGACTGGTAGACGGGCATGGCTAAAATCACGACTCCAATTTCGAAAAATCAGATGGCTAGATTTCTATATACTATGTTAACCCGAGGTATGGGGCTAAATAAACCAAGACGTTCAGGGGGTAAAAGTACACAAAAATATAAAACTATGTTAATGCATTATAAGTACCCATTTTACCATATGCTTTTAATGAAAACAAATGTTACCACAACCATTCCAAAAAATATCTGAAGTTAGACAAGCAACTTTAATTTCAAATTCCTATGTGCAAAGTTCTACGAAACACTTAAAAGTATGGTTAGAAAAGTAATAACACACTTTTCAAATGAAGTAGGTATAAACATCAATCAATATTAATCGAAGGGGAATCGAAATGATATTTGTAAATTAAACATGCCCCCTCTACCACTCCCTTTTAACAAAAACTACTTTTTGTATAAATAGCTAGATAAAGTTACCGAAATATATGAAAATATGGGCTTTGCTATATGTCAGCATCTGTTGACATGTAATTAAGATTCGCCTAGGTTTAACCAACTTAAAAATAATAAATATTTGAATGTTTCCATGTTATCGCCAATATTTTTTTTTTTTTTAAATAAATGCTCACTATACAAGAAAAACTCTACAGTTCGTTCATCTCGAGATAAAGCTGTATTCTTTGTTAACCCGAAGAGTGGGGCTAAATATACCAACACTTCTGAGGGGTTAAAGTGCAAAAACAAAAATCAAATAATGTTACTGCATGACACGTACCCATTTTACCATATGCTTTCATTGAAACTAATATACTTATTTTAAAACGAATTAACCATAACAATTCAAAAAAATTATTTGAAGTTAGACAAGCTACTGGAACGTTTAATTCATATGTGCGAAGTTGATAGAAACATTTAAAATTGTCCTGAGAAAAGTAATAAACTATTTTTATAATCGAGTAAGTTTAACATTGAACTAATACAAATTGGAAAAAAAAATCAAATTAGATCTTTAAATTCAGGCTTGTAAACTTTTATGCAATTATATAAGAAAAGATAACTAAGTAATAGACGATTTTAAATGAATGAATCATATCCATTGTCCAAGAACAATTAAAACTTAATTATTAGATGATAAACTGGATTTCTATGCAAATTCGCCAAGAAATATATTGGAATCAATAACAAACAAAAAAGGATTTTTTTTTTCAATGAAATAAGCAATAACGAAGATCGTGTCTAATTGGAGCTCCTGGATTCTTTAATCTTATTTATACCAAGTCGTTGATAATCAATAAATAATAACTTAATTTCAGGAAAAGTAAGATAACGAGTTTCTAATGAATTGACCAGAAGTAAGCCAAAATCATTTCATAATCTTTGAATCATGCATGTTAAATAAAATTAAAAACATCACGAGGAGTATATAAAAAAGGGAATAACACGATGAATTAATTTTCAATTAATTAACATTACCAACTCTCATATATAATTCGTCATCTTTAGTTCATTAATACGCACTATGGAAACCGTCAAAAGATATTGTGAAAATCTTCACCATAATCGTTTTTTGAATAGATGGTGTCGAAGAATTATGTAAAATAAAAAACACGATCGCAGCTACTTTCGAAAAAGCCTAAAGCAATTCAAATAGCCTTGTGTGTCACCTATTGAAATATGCAAACATGACAATGACGTTTTGCATAATACGAACATGATTCCAATGGGATATGCAATAGGGTATTACAACTGCTCTTGAGACGATTTTTCAAAAGTAGTTTCAATCTTGTTAAACTTAAACTGAACAAAACCAAACCAAACAACTAGAACAAAGCAAAGAAAAGCAAAATAAAAACACAACTTAAACTCAGCCAACAGCATGGCTAACGGGGGTTGCTTTCAAGAGCAGTTCGCTCCACCACTGTATTGGTCGAGAATTCGGTCAAACCACCCTTGTGGTAGTAGCAGTAGATCAGATTCACGCCCTTGTTATACACACCGTCGCTAGGATGATCTCCAGATTGTGTGGACTCGTCATCAGTCGCCCAGAAGTGCCATTCCTTCTTCACCGACATATCGTGAACCTACAACAAAAATCATATATTTTCTTATAGCACAAATGTTTCTAAGCGCTTTACATCAATTTGTAAAAAAAATAAAAAAAATCCATTAAGGTATCTTATATAATTATGAAAAAAAAAGTTATAAAGTAAGTTCACAAAGAAAGTATTTAGCAATATAAAACAAAACATAAGGAATGAACAATAAGGAGGATTATACAAAAGTTTCAAGTTAACATAATTCTACATGTAATGCATTCGTAAAGGTACCACATAAAGACAAAACGTAATAAAAAAAGGAACGGAGAAGTTAACAATATATAAATCACACAAGTTTAACAGACGTCTACAAGGTAATTACATAGGGCAGTTAATATATAGATAATGACAAAAACAAACAAACGTCGTTTTACAGATTAGAAGAGTAAAATGATTACGTCGACTCGAAATCGGACTTTTCGGATTGACCTATTTTTATTTCAACGGACAGATGGATGAAGAAATTACCCTGCTATAATTTATTTAAAATTGATAAAAGATGTCCAGATCTCAGGCTAATAGAAGGGAAGCAACGACACTCCAAAGCCCATAACTTATGTACCAAGTCCAACAAATCAGAATAGCTCTTTATCTCTAAAATGGAACTGATACTATTGTTTGCACTTAAAATTGCTGACCTGCTCTAGTGTACAAGACCAACGGCCCCCTTTCCCTCTCCTTGGGATTTCGAAATGAGGATTACTGCTTAAATAAAGGGAATAAATCTTCGACTTGGTTTTGAACTAGGGACCTCCGAAATACAAGATAATGGCTCTACCATCGAGCCATCACGCCTCTTTAAGGTAAAACAATTGAACAAGAATTTTGGCCTCACTTAGTTTTGATTAAGTTTTAGGTCAGGTTGAATAGTTATAATCCATCATGAGCTATTAATTTCTATGTTTTCAGATTTTATTCAAGGCGTGATACTGTTGTTCAAATACGCTATTTTAGGCTTAACAGTGAACCTCGATTCTCCCTTTGCTTGGTCGCATTGTGATTGAGTGATAATTGTTTTTCCTTATATGAAATCCATACTTTTTGAGGTTCAGCAATATGATTATAATTGATTTTGGAATGATGTCTTCATAGTGATTGTAAAGTCATTTCCAATTGTTATTCTTGGTTAAAAATATGTCGGGTGAGGGCTTGACCCCTCTCCAAAAATGGATATCAGTGTGAAGAGAAAACGTACCATTACTAGACATTGCCGGCAAACTACTACTCACCAGTTGACAATTACCAAAGCGTGTCAAAAGCATGAAACTGGCGTCAGTGGGGAGGTATATTGCCTGTGAAGCAACGCCATCATCCCGGCAGCAGAAGTTGATTTGAGTGTCTGTCCCAGAAGGGAGAACGCCTTTATTTATCAATGGTTGGTCGTAATCATCTGGGTAACCCCAATCTATGTAACCAGATGTGAAGCCTGAGAAAAGAGCAGGGCAAAAAAAAAAAAAAAAAAAAAAAACACGTGAGAAAGAAGGTGAATATCCCATAGCCCATGTCATCCTAGTCTTGCACCATAGAGGGATATACGGGCACAACACACACCCATATGATTATGTTCATTTCATCAGATGCCCTACAAGGCGGACTGTTATACAGTGCGTGCCAGAAAATAAAAACGAAACTCGAAAAAAGCGGTTAATATCAGAAAACTATGAGCTGCATATGAATAGAATTCTCAACTCAATAGAAATCTATGTAAAGGAAAATATTATCCCCAAACTTCGGAGATTATAATTAAGCATTTCTTATTATTTACCAGACAAAAGTGTCTATATAAATGAAACAGCTTATTGAGGGTTATGTGGGTAATTAGTCACAAATGATACAAGTAGCTACGGTCGTACGTAAAATATATACAACAGCCTTCAGGATCACACAAATATAAATGTAGGTCTACAAGAGTGCAGGATTCAGACCGTGTTATGCTTAAGAAATATTTGAATTAAATAGAAAAAAGTAGGCCAGTGATTTTTTTGAGGAAAAACAAAATTACGAATTTGGCCATGTGAACCAATGAATACACCGTCGTTGACCTCTAACTGGGAATCACGCGGAGCTACGTAAAGGCTCGTTCAGCTGCCGGAACCCCCCCCCCCCCCATCCCCGCCGAGGTTCTTTTATGTTAAAGTTTCAAAGGTTCTACGCTTATAACTCATTTTTATAAGATAGGAAATGTGAACCTTATGTATGCACTGTACGACATCATTTAAAACAATAATAATGATAAAAAAAGAAATCAAGACGCTGCGCCGGCATTGCCTCTTTATATCCGAACAAGGTTGTAAAGTTGTTGATGCGTGCTGTCCAGTATAACTAAAAGGGACTTTTAGATTCTGCACGACGAGAACGTGGACTGCCCTTTTAAGGCACTGGCAGTGACGTCACATTGCCTTAAAAGGGCAGTCCACGTTCTCGTCGTGCAGAATCTAAAAGTCCCTAATACATATTCAAGTAAATACTCACCTTGTGGGCATGCCGAACCGTATTGGTAGATGCAATAAGATCCAGGTTGCCATTGCCAGCTAGAACCAGGAATGGTAGTTACGGTTTTCATGCAAAACTCTTGTCTCGAAAAAACCTCCTCCATCCAACCCGCAAAAAGCATATTGTTGCTCCATGAGTTATCTTGGCCATCTCCGTCATAGTGTTGAAAGCGAGATCCTTCATCCCAATTTTGAGTAGGGCATCCGTTGTAAGGCTTGGGAAGACCGTAGACCCCTGCTGGCCACGTTAGAGGTATTTGGATGGCAGGATCTTACCGATAAAACGACAACAAGTCATTGACAAATCACATCCTGAAATTTGCGGCTACTTTTGTAATGAAATTATGTTTTCCCCTCCGCATTACTGCCTTTTTTTTTCTCGTAATGATGTTTGTTTTAAACAGTAAGGGTAGGTTTTGCCTTATTTTATTTTCATTTGTTGTTGTTTAGCTATCTGTTTTCTTTTCTTTTTCTTTTCACTTTTCACAATAATTATATTTTTGTAACACACTCAAATCTATCCAATATTATATAAGTATTGCTCTGGAAACAGTTTAGATATAAAGAAGCCTTTCATTTATCACCCCCTGATAAACACAATGAAACGTGGGTAGATTATTTCGCTGGCATATGAAGAGTTAACATGCATTTTTACTAAGCAACTGTGTACCCATACTTAAATTTTGCTATTGTTGCTTTAATTATAGTGCTATAATGCTCAAATTGATTATCTGGCATTTATTCGTACAGTACTCAACCAAATACGAATTATTTTCCAAGGAACACTCTTTCCTCATTACATACAGAATTCTGCTTGTGTAACTGTTTTAAAACCTAGGTATACGATTTTTTTCGGGTAAATGTTAATAATCATCTGAATTCAATACATGTTTTATTTTGTTGTTTTGGTTTGAGTCTTTGTTCAGCCACGAATACAATTCATACGTTTTATTATAAAACATGGATCGACCTTTATATAAGGATTGTTTCCTTTTATATTACAGCCTATTCACCTTATCGTTACGTCCCAGTCCAATAATTGTTTAATTTGTAGTTTATGTAATACATCTGGGCCCCGTCTTACAAAGAGTTGATATTGATCGGAATCAATATCAAGTCCCTAAATCAGTATCAAGTTTGCAGTCTCCCATCTCTTATGTACATAGTTGCGATTGATATCAATCACAAATAAGTTGCGATTGATATCAACTCTTTGTAATACAGGGCCCTGATTAATTTTTTTACTGAATGAAACAAAATTGAATTTTACAGAATTACTAACTTAGGAGCGTAAGTAAGGACAAATGTTTTACCCTTCCATCCCAGACACATCTCTTAACCCATTGTCTTCCCGAACCGGGTCGTCCCTATATTAAGCCTATGAGAATGAAATAATTCGATAACCAATGGGTTCAGTCTTCACTCCTTAAAGGCAGGCTTTACTACTTCAGCCAGAAGGGATTAGACCACCAAGCGAGCCAGCGAGGTCACTGTGACAGGTGGCTATCTCATTAACTCAGTTCTCATTTAACATAAGAAAAAGAGGATCATGGGGGACCAACAGGCACCGATTGGGGAAGTTTTCTATATAGAGGGAACAAGTAACTACAAGTAGGACAGTGTGCCTTTAAATGCTAGCCTCCTTTCTTCCCCTTATTCTTTCTTTCTCTCTTTCTTTCCTTTGATTGTGCAATGTCTATTCGTTTGAAGCCATTGAGTTAGAGCCGCTTTTACCACCTATATCATTACGATTGAGAATTTTAGAAACCAAAAAGGTAGGACATTGTTGAAGAAACCCTTCAACCTCGAAATCACTTCAAGGGGGAAAGTCTGACAGAAAAGAAAGGAGAAGCAGATCAGTTGAAATAATGAAAAGCCGATAAAATTTAAGTTAACAATCTCCCTGCGTCATATCGTGCTCATCATGGGGTAGATCTACGAAACTGTATCCAGAGCAAGAATAATACATAAAGGTGTCAACATGGTTATCATGGAGCTAATCAAGAACGGGATTGGGCAACTTTTAAAAGCCATTTGATGCACCAATAACAGCAGTCCTCCATGAAACAAAGGCCCAATGGTGAGAGTAAAATAAATGACACGCCTTCATGCAAGGAAAATGCAATCGTTGAAAAAAAAAATTCAAAGTGCACACCATCCATGGCAAGGGCGGGACATCCCTCTCTAAAATATGAATGCTCAACATTTTCTTTTGACTACATCTTTGCTCAAGAAATTAAAACCAGTTGCGCTATTTCAAAGTTATTCTCACTCAATATTCCTGAATTTAACCATGAAGACAGCATCACTACAAATCCATTATTTGACTATGTCCATACTTTCTTTCACTCACTAGGTCATTATCAAAAGACAAAATATTTGAAAGTAAGGACTTCTGGTTTCATTCCTTTGGCTATTTTTTTTTGCCATGCACCCTATTCCCGTAAAACCCTGTTCATAATTTCCTTCACTCTCCCTATTCAAACCCAATTTTAACGTTTAAATTTCTTTTTGCATTATTAGTTTTGTTGTAGCTATTTTGTGCCAATTTCCCGTATTCCCGTAAAGCCTTGTCCGCCTTTTCTGTCACTCTATCCCTATCAAAAGACAAATAAAATGTTTTTTTTTTCTTCATACCTGTGCTCTTTTCTACTGCACGCCATTCGCCGTATTTCTTTAGAGCACTGTCCATATTTTGTTTCACACTCTCCCTATCAAAAGAAGCGGAGCAGTGGCCATCAGATATATATGTATCTAATCCCGTCCAGTATTCGTTTCCGAAGATCTCTGGCATTCCAATCATTTTTACGCTGATGGGCTCTACAGGAATAAAGACGAGAGAAGACAAAAAGTAGAATTATAATTTATGTTTTGCTCATGTCTGGAATTAAAAATAAATAAATACATTAATGGATAGGTCTGTCCCAAAACATGCTGCATCTATGTACTAACGTTTTTGGAAAACAAGCATTTTCAATTCTTATTTACAGTTTATTCTTAATATAATTAGATAAAATCGCTCTGAAATACTACTATATATTAAAGTGACTAGTTAGCATTTTGAAGGTTGATGAAAAAACGGCGTAATTTTTGTATGAAACTTTACTAAGCATATTCCTTCTACTGTAACCTCTAACATGCAAACAATCCTGAAAAATTCTCAAACCGCAAAGATCGTTATGGTTTTCTTTGAAGGCATCACTGTGCGACACCCTATAACAGTAAATTCTCCATACTAATTTTTGAATTTTCCCAACCGTTTTTTCATGAAAATAGGACATAAAACAGGCTTTTAAAAAAACCTTTCAACACTTCAATGTTTGAATTGGTATATAGAGCTAATTCATTGCTTTTTGACGATTTATATTCACCTAGAATTTAATTAAATTGAAAAAAATATAGAAGGGAGAAATCTGGAATCGATCAGATAAGTTTTCCCCAATTGTCATCATTAATAATGTTTTTTTTTACTCAAACTGTCAGATTATCTTTAATTGTACATCTAGCATTGAAGTCACTGCATTAGCATCATTTTCTCTCATCTGAACAATGTTACCAAGTCCCTTTAACCTAACGTGCTTAATCAATTGATCAAATTATTTGCCTCTTTGATATTTATTTTCTTTAATTGACTAAACAATCAATAATTATAACAACAATAATAATAATAATGATAATAATTACAACAATAATAATGATAAAATATTGCAAGTGCACAAGTGCAAACGGTTTTAACATCATATCTACATAAAACAACCAAATAAGATACAACATAAGAAAGAGAGAGAAAAAAACAAGAAGAAAAGATACTATATAAGACTATAATTGTGAAATCAAACAGATACAGTTCACCCCTCCCCACTTTGTATTTAGCTTAGGAAGAACGAGAAATCCAGAGTTTGGGAAACGTACAGATTCTAGACGGCATGTTATTATTTGTCAAAGTCATTTTGTACTGCGGTGCAGAGCCATGGACACGAGGAAACAAAAGCAAAATAATTTTAAAAAACAATGCGATCACTCAAAGGAAGCCAACGGTGTGCTTTAAAGATACAATGTCCCTTTTGCAGCCAACATCGAATTCTGTAGAATTTTGCAGGAATTATGAATATGTCATGTTTGTCCCATCTGTGAAATATGAACGTTAGCAGTGTCGAAGTCAAGTTATGCAAGGAAACCCGTTTACTTTCTAGACTTCCATGTAAAACACTATGAGTGACTGACTGACAACCTTTTTTCTTTGGTAATAACATACATAAAATAAGCTGTAACAGGTACATGAGCATGTGTCTGCATCAATAACCCACTACTTGTAATGGTCAAAATTAAACTGATTTAATCGTCGTGCAGTACAAAACGTACGACCATTCGGTACAAAGGTCTGAAAATCAGACTATTATTTAGGTGATTGCAATCACTCAAGTCGATTCGACAACTCATGGTCGTTATTTTGCCACAAAAAGCCACTTTAAAATCTTTTCGTTTTGAGGGAAGTTCTAAATAAGTATTGTCTTTCAAATGCCGTTGGAATTTCAACCTTTTAATTTTTGTAAACCTGCAAATGGGACATAGTACCTTTAAGAACTGTTCTGATGTGACTGTGCCACTACACAAGCAGTACCATTCTGTAGCCTAATTTGTGTAAATGGTACAAGTTGGTTGTGAAATATACAATAATGCTACATTAAATTACTTTTAAAACTGTGGACAAAACATGTTTATGTTCTAATATTTGATCAACTACGACAAAAAAGTCGTTAAATACCCTACCGTTTAAATCCTGGGATCCAATTGCATACTTTGAGTAACTGCTGCCAAACTTGGTTCCACTGTCCATTGCGCTATTGAATGATTCCATATCAACCGATACGGAAGCACTGAAGCCATCATAGACACCTGAAGCCTGGATGCTTCCTTCAACCTATACGATGGAAATAATATTGATAATAATGATAATGATAATAACAACAATATTAATAATAATAATAATAATACTGATAATAACATTTTTCTTCTTCCGGCTAGCTGTACAAACTGGAGCAGAGACAATCAGACCGCTATTAAATGTGACAAAACAGCAATTTAGCTGAATGAATTCACGTCATTTAAATTCTAGAGCACTGTCAGCTATCTACTAGCTTTAAAAATAAAGTGAATGTATTTTTTATGTTTTTAGCCTGATGTTTTTTTAAATTTCACTTTTCATCTAAACAAAGAAGATGCCCGTATTAATGTAGAATGTAACCTGTGATGGTCGGGCAACAACATGGAGGGGAAAACAAAATCAAGTGACGTATTAATTTTGTGGATGGGCCCTCGATTTCTTTTGTTTGCGCCCTTTGATTGTAGTGTAACATTTCCCGTAATCCTAACCGAATTTGATTATCTCTTCTTAGAATTATCAGTTACAGTTTTGCTGTTCGTGAAAGAAATTGCTCTATGTGGGATAAGCCATATTTGTCTATTAAACTATATTTTTCTTGGGGGGGGGGGGGGGGGTCCCGAAATTTGAAAATTTGACCGATCGACATTCCCTTTCGTTAAGGGGGGGGGGGGGGTAAGGTCATCCTTTTTAGGTCGTCCATTAGGTTTTTTTTTAATTTTATTTTTTAACCCCAACCCCCCCCCCCTGCGTACGCGCCTGCCCACACACCACACACGCGCGCACACACAAATACTTACCTACACGCATACATATACATACAAATGCAATTCCGCTGAACATTCTTACATTTTGAGCTGCGTAATTGACGAAGGATGATCGTTTTTCTTCGAAGTTTTCACCTTTCCTGATTCCCAAATTAACCTCTATAACAGTATGCTATTAAAGAAAAAAATATTTGTAATTGTTATTATAATTGTAACTATTAATATTATTCATTCGTTTATTTACTCATTTACTTACTTATTTACTGTTTCTACTACTACTATTTATAATAATGATAACAATAATAATGATGATAATGATAATAATACTAACAATAATAATGATAAGAATAATAATAATTCGATTTATAAAGCGCATTTTTTTAGAAGATATTATCTAATGTATTCATTATTAATTTATTTTACCTGTATTTATTTGTTTTACCATGACAAATTAGAAAATAAAACATTTTAAGTAATAGGTAGACAGATACAAAGTACAATAAAAATTGCCGGGCCTAAAGAAGAACAGCATTAATGCTGATGAGATCATTTTTAGATGTGTATTTTTACCGTTCCCCAGTCTTCCATGAATTGCATATACTTCGTCTTATCTGCTTCCGTGTAGGTCGCTGGAAGAAGGCAGCTTGCGGACACGAAGTCGGGTGTGAGTAGGCTCCCCGTGCGCGCAAGATCCATCAGGTAACGTGCTCGCCCACGGTTTGTGATTGTCTCGTTGCTAAGGAACACAGATCCTTTGCTAGACGTCTTGTCGGCCACTTCTTGGTAACCTGCAGTAAGTTTTACCATTATATTTTCAAAAGGACGAAACGATAACAATTAAGAAATTGAAACAACAAAAGAGAAGAAAAAAATGTTTTATTGAGTGACACAGGCTAGGTTACGGTGAAAATACTCGTTCCCTCGGATAGGGCGTTACACTTATTTTTATACATTCTTGCTTCACACATATTTTGTTAGAGGTGATTAGTACACATTAATAATAATATCAATTGCTATGATTTAATTCCGAAAAAAAGAAATACAGTTTTAGACACTTCACTGTCACACCATCCCAAAAGGTCATCAAATAATGACATAACATATCTGTCGATTGAAAACTAAACTAAACTCTTCAAAGGTCAGTCCTTAGAATAGAGGTCCAAAATGGGGACAGAAAAGGCCTGATTAACTTTGTTTTGTCCTTGTTTTGTTGCCTATCACATAATTTTAAAGGGTCTGTAGCATGGGAATTACTGGTTAACGCCATCTACGTCTTCTTTTGGACAACTACACGTAAACAAATGGACTTGATGTACTGGGTCAGCACGCGCAAGCGTCCGCGAAACAGACCGAAGTTCTCCTCACGCTTCAGAGGAATGTAATTTATTGTTCGGTATGCTGCCGGTGTGGGGTCGGACTCGTTAGGGTTACTGAGGTATTAAAGGCAAATCGTTTAAAGATAAACTTGAGTTCTGGTAAAATAAGAAAAAGAATTCTCGCAGAATCAAACGAAACTTACACTGAATGTTCAAGATTACAAATAAATGTCATTTGCCAAACAATTTTGGTAGAAAATGTATACTGGCTGAGTAATGAGCATAGAAAGATAAGAGAATCAAGGTAAGTAGCCCGACACCATTTGTGTAGTCCGGCCCATTATACACCTTTCTGTGTACAGTGCTTGTTACTTTACCAAGACTGGGTCAAATTTATTATAATTTTGATGACTCCAGAACCTTGCAGTACACACCAATACTTACATGCTACATGATCATTTTTTCCTGATCCATTCCACACCCTTTCTTTCACAATGCAATTGCATGACCAGAACTCAACTTTATCTTTAACAATGTTAAATCTCAGATGCATGGCCCTACGTGTTATCAGTGTCTGTGATATACCGTGTGAGTTAAAAAAAAGTTTACACCTAGAAAATTGCTAATTATTTTTTAAAATCATCTATGAACAGTAAATTATTATACATCTTATGAAAGAGTGTTTTATCCCAAATCATTTGGTGCCATTTTTGTGTGGTATGTATTCACGCTTGGATGAACAGGTGGCATCGTTTGTGAGAGTGCCAAAATCGACCTGCGCCAAAGTGATGCCTACAGTATGTATTATGTTGGGATTAGCGGAGTGAGAGAATGGATTGAATGTATCAAATGAAATGCATTGCATATGTTTTTTGCAAAGGACAAAGTCACACACACCCACACAATCGCGCAAAAATGTTCGTTGATATTTGATATTTGATATGTGTGGCATGATTAATTATGTTAGGGGTGTTATTTGGATCTGCAAAGACCGAATTAATACCCAAATCCCAATTGTTTTATTCAAACATCACATAGGCAATTTAGGCGCAAGTCGATTTTTGCACTCTCGCAAACAATGTCAGCTGTTCATCTAAGCGTGAACACATACTACACAAAAATGGTACCAAATGATTTGGGATAAAACACTCTTTCATAAAACATACAATAGTTTAATGTTCATCGATGATTTTTAAAATAATGAGCAATTTTCTAGGTGTAAACTTTTTTTTGACTCACACTGTAGTGTGATATTGAAGCCCTACAAAAAAAAATCACGCTTCACAATCATCACGAAGTGCTTTAAAAAAGTAAAAAATCTTTGAGTGACCGTTTTTACGATCTTCATTTTCTCCTATTGACTGTAGCTCTATAAAAATCGTTAGGAAAACGAATTTTTAAATTTCGATTTCCAATCATAAATATCTTGATAGTCAGACAGGCGATCAGCTTGTAAAAGTCATGGGGTTCCTGACTGACCTAAAGGTTTACAATTATCATTGCAGCATGAGCTAAATCCAAGATTTTGTTTCAGAATCTGAGACAAAGTTACCCGATCCCTATAAGTGGAAGCGGTCGACTTACGGGCACTTGCAGCGAATTGGACCTCGGCCGCGACACCTACGTATCCACCTGAAAAGAAATAGATCGAACGAGATTGGCATGACTGGTGTTGTTGGCTGTTTCCTCGGGTACAAAGACCAATGGGTTTTGGACTGAAGGTCATGGAGAGGTGGACGGGCAGGATTTAAAATAGAATCCAACTACTCTTTAAGAAATTAGAAAACAATCATAAAAACAGACTGGTGAACGTTTAAGTTATTTCGGACAAAAATAGGACAGACTTCGAACTGACTGAATATGTAATGCCACTATATACGACGTAGTGAGGAATAACATAAAATGACCCCAAAATTAGAATTGTATTAAATGTATGACTCATATATTGTTCTTATTAGAAGACCTATAATAATATGCTATCCATATTTTAGAGCTTTATAGGCGCCCCAGGGAGACGGCGAGAAAAAACATGAGTAATAATATTTTGTACACGACGAACAGGAGAGTTGTCCGTGACTACGTCACAATCAACTGAACAAATTGGCTATTTAGGATTCACATGGATGTATTGATCTTATTTCTTAAACATTAACAACTCTCTTATTATGAGTCCGATTTATTTCAAACTTTTCTATTCTGTTTCTCTTATTTTTTCTGCTTTCATGCAGAAGAATGATTGCCCTTTAATATGGCTTAATAGACCGATCCTCGAAAGACGGACTTCCCCGGGCTACGGCAGCTGAGTAACGTCTTCCTCTGTCTACGCTCATTGATTTGTGCATGCCTAAACAAAAATGCAATATTCGATATTTTGAAAAACTGAAGCCACTTAAATCAAATAAATAGTGCCTAATTCATCCCTCATTACAATCTTTAAATAAAAAAAATGAAGTTACACGTTATTTTCTCATGCAGTTTGTGGTTCCTAAGGCCTTCTACAATATCGTATCACTTTGCAAACATAAACAACTTAGTTTGCTTCCATTGCCTCTCTACACGGTCCGTTAGCGTTCTTCTAATTATTTCATCTTCATCTTTTATATCTCTTATCTCACATACCTCTCATATTTTCGTTTGCATTTACCCGTCTTTTTCTTTCTTAGCTTATTTTTCTTTCAATCTCTTCTTTTCTTTTCTTCTCCCTTTGTTCTTCCCCCTTTTCATTTATTTCCCTGCTCGCCTTTCCTCTTTTCCCCTTTCCTCCTTCCCTTTTTAGCCGACAAAGGCGGCACATTACCGACATAAATTTAGGGTGTGGTGGTGTCACACTTCCAACCCCCCTCTAAACAACGCCCCTGTCTGCAAAGGTCCACTGATTTCCCAAGTTTAGATGACACTCACCTGATACTTCAACTTGCGCGGCGAGTTTGGCAGCGTAGCTTTTCGTACCAAAAAACGTTGAGAGTGATGATTTCGAATAGGGGTTTTGTTGCTTTAAGTACGACACCTCATCAGGAATTCGACTCGACTGGTCAAACGTTTTTTTCCCTTCGTCATAAGTGAACTTGAAGATTTTTCGACTGAGCAGTAGACCAGGATCTACGCCTCCGGTATTTAAGTCACCACCTTCAGGGTTACCATCTATAATGTTGTAGCCGACGCCGACATACTTGACGCCGTGCACGATCGGAAGTTCATCCGCCGTAACCCAACAGCGCTTGACATCTTGAATTATTACCAGGGTAGAGATAATAAGAAGAAAAACAGGTTTTCCGCCAAACATTCTGGATGGCCCGCGAATGCTACAAGAGATATCAAGAAAATATGAAAATAATGAACGCTCAGAGAAAGCTACCGATTTGGCGGTCGCCTTATATAGGAGACGCAGGAAGGCGGTGACGGTCTGATTATTTACATCTTATTTAGAATGTTCTCTATAACATGGTGTTATTTGTATAACATTCTAGCAAAAATAGCAGATGTTTCACTAATTTGAAAAGTTAACAATGTATTTAGTAATTTAATTATTGGGGGGGGGGGGGTAGAATTTTTTTCTCGTTATAATTAATCTGGGATAAGCTCTCAAGATAAATCTTCAATGTAATTCTAATCCTGCTGCCTTAATATTCTGCTAATTTGATATCAGTATCGATTACCCCTTTAACATAAAGTCTTATCTTGGAAGAATAGATTTTCAGATTTAAAATGATCTATAACCCATCAAAATAGAATGTTCCCAGCTAAATAAAAAAGGAGATAAAAGCAAGTCTTTAAAACGTGCGTATCACGCATCACACACGTATACACACGCGCGCGCCCAACGCACCAACCCACCCTCACACACAAGTATCAGGGACTTTTAGATTGAGTGGACGAGAACACGACGAACGCCGACTGATCATGCGTGTCAACGTACTCAACTGCCCATGTTGACTACAATTAGAAATCTTTTAGATTGCACTCGATGATATACATGCATGCAGGAAGTAACACTATGAACATGACGGACAAAGAAAGAGGAAAAATATACAGTTCCTCACTCTACCCTCAACAATTGCTGTGGTAGACAAAAGAACATCCCTTCACTGCTATTAAGTAAAAATGTGTAGAACAGGTGAATATGCATATGTGACACCTGTTCTACACATTTTGACATAATTATTATGTTCCTTTGTCTACCTGATGAACTGTATATTTTATGCGCACGCGGCATATACTAGTACCGTACTAGATTTAGGAAAATCAAGGTTGACGCATTCTCGATCGCCGATTTAGACGACGTGACGCATGCGCAGTGCCTTAAAATGACGTCACACGTTGCAGTCAAAGCTGTCGACGGGCAAATCTAAAAGTCCTTATTTTTGTGGTGATGAGACCCAGGATTAAAACTGAGTAACGTCTTAATAATTAGTGTTTCTTAAAAAGCGCTTTACCAGAGATACAACTTAAAAATGAAGTTGAGTTCTGGTCATGCGATTGCATTGTGAAAGAAACGTAGTGGAAACATTCAGAAAAGGTTGATTATCTAGTAAAATAAGTATGGGTGTGTACTGCAAGGTTCTGGAATCATTAAAATGATAAGAAATTTGGCACAGTCTTGGTAATGTTACACGCACTGTACTCAAAAAGATGTATATGGGACTACACGAACATGTGGCCTAAAAATGTCATATTTAGAATATTAAGGAAATTGAAGAGCGATTCTTTTCAGAGAACTTTTTTTTATCTGATGTTCTTCCACACTTGCATAATACAATGAGAACGCTCACGAAATTATTTCTCCCCTCTTCCCAGAACTCAACCTTTTCTTTAACCACCCCAAACGCTCAAATTAAACCCCGGTCACTGAATTCTGTTTACGATTCTGCACATTCCAGTGCTCCCTTCTCTTACGGGCGCGCACATGCTTATCCAGCACATTGACGTTTGCAACATATCGGCACATATAATTATCAGCACATCACCAACTGCACGCAACACAGCACATCCCTCTCCAGGACAGCGTTCACGCTTTTGGGAGAGTAATTCTTCAAGGTTCAAGGTTCAAGGTACCTACTTAACACCTGGGTAGAGAGGATAAATGTAGATAAAAATATCTTGTTCAAGGACAAACAATGCCGTGGTAGGGATCGAACCCACGACCTTTGCATTTCCAGTCGAGTGATTAGACCCACTCGACTATACGAAACCTATATACACCTCTCGTCTTTCGAACGATGACGTTAAAGGTCCGTCACACACACATAAATAACGAACCCCCCCCCCCCCCCCCCACCTCAGTGTTATTTAGGGTACGCATATGCGTGTTCCCAGCACCCCCCCTTTTCAGCATAAGTCTGGTGCGTAAAGTCAATACGGGTAGACCTTTTTCTTTTGTTATACGAGCCTTTTCAGCACCCCCCCCCCTTGTCAGCATAAGCCCGGTGTGTGAAGTCAATACGGGTAGACCTTTTTCTTTTGTTACGAGCCGGAGATTTCGGGAACACGCATGCGGTCCCTCCGTTCCCGGAGTGGGGGGGGGGGGGCGAATCCTATACTGTATTCAGGTATAAACCGGGCTTAAGGTGCCAGGTAAAATTGCAAGAGGTTTAAATGCAAATACTGGATAATCCAGTGCCCATCACCGTCACTGCCTCAACCATGGCAGGCGAAGACTTTCCAGCACATATCATTTGCATCATTACCTTTGGCGGTCCCGAAAATGTTACATACGCACCCTACCAAACAATGTCTGTAAAATATTTAGAGGGGCTATAAAAACTGAGAGTACAAATTAACGCTTAAAAAGAAACTAAAATACATGATTCTGTACATACTTGTTATTTTCTGTACCGCTATAGGAAACGTTCATTAGTCGACACTACACGTTTTAGATTACACTGAGCATTTAGTAGATGTTATAGTTTGCTTACCAAATACTTTGGAGAAATCTTGGCGACTGATTCTTTCTTCTAAGGCGCGGCACGAAAGACGCATCTGTCTCGACGTATTAAACGACGTTACAGCTATTGTTGTAAAGTGATTTTACACCTATATTCGTCGGTATTTATGGAGGTGTTTGGACTGCCAGATCGCGTTGATCGCGAATGCCACGCCCATACGTTTTATGTTGACCAATCAAGGGTCGATGAGATCAAACATGTAGGCGCAGGTTCACGGCCACCAAATCAAATTGGAAAAATCAAACCGGACCATATGGTTTTTGGTTGAATAATGCATTCTCCGTAATGAAGTCCTTGGCATTGTTTTGATTAAATGAATTTAGATTAAACAATTAATATTTTGATGCTAGTTTCTCTCGTCTTTCATTGAGAGTGGGTAGTCTCGATTCTTTGAGAGCATGTTGGTAAGTACAGTAGTGTGGCCCAAGCTCGTATTGGATTCTTTCAATCTGATTAATTTGGTTTTCAGTTAGCCCAAGTGCTAAACATTTTTAGATTTGCCGAACAACAACGTGGATTGCTACGATCGACGTCCTTTTAATGCACTGCCTTGAATGGACGTCACACGTATCAGTCCACGCAAATCTAAAAGTCCCTAATACCACGGGACGAATGTACGTACAGTAGACACATAATAAATCATTTGCTGGAAGTTTTAATCTGTTCAATATTTTGAGCATCAAGTATTGTGCTCGCTCGCTTGACAATATCAATCACATGACCTGACCTTTTCAGATCATTTTGAACCAGCACTCTAATTTTACAACCGACACTTCACTCAATTCATGATTTCCAATGCGTATTGGGGGTGCACTTATCTCTGAACACATGACGTGTACATTCAATACAGAACATTAAATTAATTTCATGTAAATATGCGATTATGATTGATTACTATTCAATATATATTTTTCCATATTTATTCAAAATTGGTCTCGCAGCTTTAGCTGAATCGTACATATAAACAAAAAAGAATATAACTGTACTATACCAAAATATCACAACGGTTAAAATGATACGCGATTGGTCATGGTAGATGTGACCCATATATTATATCATGTCTATCTATCCTGGTATTCTCCCAGTTTGGAGGTTGATAAGAAAATATTGCACTCATTTCTGTTATCTGCCATTCTAGTATGCTCCTGCATTGTCTCCCCCTCCATTTCACAAAGACTTTTTTCAATGACAAATGACAAAAATCAGTGACAAATCTGTTGATAACCAATCAGAAGCAAGGATTTCAGTAGCTTATAACAAAAACTGTCATTTGTCACGGATGACAAGTTTTGTGAAACGCCCCCAGGTCTTTATGTTCTCCTCCCAGTTGGTTTCTCGGCTTCCCTCTCGGTTTTCTATTTCACCTTCTAACAAATCTTTCTATGGACCCTCAAGTCTTTTAATATGATCAATTTTGCTAGCCTTTATTTCTTGATCTATTTCATTGAGGACATTTTGTTTAAGCCATGCCATGTGAAATATCTTAGTCTTCAAAATATATATAGTATATATTCTTATCATTTCCAATAAAAACCAAATTTCAAATGATGTGATTTTCGTTTATGTAACCTTGAATACTCTTCATGTATCTGCTCCATACAATAGAACAGACCAGTCAGCGATTCATCATTCTCATCCCAAGTTCAAATTTCACTTTTCTTGCTGTGAATTTGTTTTATTGCTAGGAATGCATTTCAATCCTATATTTTGTAGGGTTTAAGGGAATTGAAATTGATAGACTTCATTATATAAAATAATTGCGTCTTATTTCCCAAGGGTAGCCTATTAATACCGCTCGACCTGTGTTCCCTGCAATTATTATTACTGAATATGTAAACATGCTGAAAGCACGTTCTCCGGAGTATCAACGTATTGAGGTCATTGGCCTGCCTGCCACGTCGCGTTGATCGCTATTGCCACGCCCATAATTGCTCTGCGAACCAATCACGGGTGGTTGAGAGTACGCAAGCACAAGATCACGGTCACCATAATTTGCAATCGGACAAATAAAAGCGGGCTTTATGGTTTTTTATTGAATCATCGCAATTAATCCTTGGCATCGTTACAGAAGTACAAGGACATTTCTCACAGCTAATTGAATTATCTAACTTTATGTAAATTTGCCAGTATGCTTGATAACTAGTTCGATTTCAAAGTTAAAGTTCAAGTTTAAGTTCAATTTTTGTCCACTGTCTCATATTACGTATATAATAAAACATAAACTAAATAAAGCAGAGGATTACCAGAATCGGTACAATAATTTTGCAATTATTAAATGATGTACATTCTCCTTTTAGTGATCATATACATTGCATCATTATCACAGAATTGCAGAAAATATAATCATTCTTGATTATATTTTAATTTGAGAATAAGTGAAGGAACTTTAAAAAAAAAAGCAGAGCTTGAGAAGCTATAGGTCCCCTTTTAGGAATAAAAAAAAAATCAATATTGTATTCAAGAATGAAAACAGGGATAAAATGATTAGTTTAGTGCAAGGATAGAGAGGGGAAAGGGAAGAGAATAGGATAGACAAGGAAGAAGGAGAATGAGAAAAGGTGAAAGAACAGAAAGGAGGAGGGGGAAGAGAAAGAAAGAAAGGGGGGAGAGAGAGAGAGAGAGAGGGTGCAGCATCATAAATTCACAGGAGTTCAAGCAAGTACAAGGTAGTACGCGGTTGTAACAATAAAGAACTGTCAGGGTTATGAGGAGAAGCCTATTGAAATTTACAAAGGGAGAAACCTGCTAAAGGTATGTGCATGATTTTGTTATGATATATACATCTGAATACATTAGGGTTAGGGTTGTCAAGACTTGCATCCACAAATAATCGTAACCATGAGTACCCTGCTTTATTGGAGAGTACACACATTAATGAATAGGATACGTTCATGTAATGACACCTTTAATTCATTTAACAAGTCATTTTGCAAAAAAAAGATTTCTTTTCAGGTACCGAAATAAATGAGCACAAAGTGGGAGTATTTGCCAAGGTTTCCTCGAGAGAATTCCAAAACTTGTGTCAAGTATAGAAAAAAGAATGTTTTGCTGACAATGTTCTCATTCTCGGTAAATGATATGAATGAGAATGTCGATTGTGATACTTATGGTGTTGTTGGTTTTTTGAAAACATAATATTGAATATTTCAAGTACACTGTTGGTCATAATGGTGGAATATTTATTTTTTCCCCAGTTTAGGGAAGGATTTAAAAAAATTATTTATTTCTAATAGATCAAGATAATGGCATACATTCTCAGATTCTATTGAATAATAATTTGCGAGTTTTTGGTTTGCGTGACTGCTTAATCATATGTGTGCTACTATGCTAATCAGCTAGGGAACCTACGTCCTTAAATCATAATTGACAGTAATGAGGATTAATGCCTCACAAGAGGGCACTAATATAGCTGATCGACACGATTTTTATCCTGGGGCCTCACAGTAACGAGGCCATTGCTTAGCCCCTGAATCATGACTGTACGCAGTGTTTGCTAGGGTACGCGGCCCCTTCCACAAATCCCCCAAAACGAAAAAAATGCAATAAATTGTCAAAAATTCATTGCATTTTCCCCCGGCCCCCAACAGGAAAAATTCCTCTGTAGGGCCATGCATTATGGTTCAAGGCATGGCCACACAGAGGAATTTTTCCTGTTGGGGGCCGGGGGAAAATGCAATGAATTTTTGACAATTTATTGCATTTTTTTCGTTTTGGGGGATTTGTGGAAGGGGCCGCGTACCCTAGCAAACACTGCGTACAGTCATGATTCAGGGGCTAAGCAATGGCCTCGTTACTGTGAGGCCCCAGGATAAAAATCGTGTCGATCAGCTATATATTAGTGCCCTTTTGTGAGGCATTAATCCTCATTACTGTCAATTATGACTTAAGGACGTAGGTCCCTTAGCTGATTAGCATAGTAGCACACATATGATTAAGCAGTCACGCAAAACAAACACTCGCAAATTAATATTCAATAGAATCTGAGAATGTATGCCATTATCTTGATCTATTAGAAATAAATAATTGTTTAAAATCCTTCCCTAAACTGGGGTAAAAATAAATATTCCACCATTATGACCAACAGTGTATATGCGTTATAAAAGTGATGAGTAAAGCATTTTCAATAAATTTGATGGAAAATAATTTTTCATTTTGTTAATGACACAACTTTTCTCGAGAGTGTTATTATCGCCCGGCATATGGATTTTCCACGACAGTCTGTTATCGATTGTGAGACCAAAAACAAATTGTAAAGGAGACCTCTGCTAATTTTGAAAGAGTCTGGAGTGACCAAATGTCACGATTTTTAACTTGTGCATGTATAATAACGTTTTACGAGTTGTATGCATTGATTTGTACATGTTTATAAATACGTCACGTATTGCTTTCCTAAATGGCGGCTAGGGAGAATTAATTTCCCTTGCGTGGTACTTGTCCACTCCGCCTGTCTGACTTTGCAAACATGTTCCAACTAGTTCTGTCTGGATTGTAATATATTCTATTATGACGTAGTCTTTTCATTATTACGTACATCGCGTATACTGACATGTTATTGTGTACGCGTATTTCAAATTATAATTCAACCAATCACGCTCCAGTGGTGATTGGGGCTTCGCTTTGATTTTCCATGAGGAAATCAAATCGGTACATTCAGGTTGTTACTGTGTTTTGTTTATCGTGCCGGTCGAATTTTCGTCCAGCGAGGAGTCAACGACTTCGTCCCCGGACTTCTCCGGGTGGACTTGCTCACCAAACGTCTTTAAGTTTGTGAGATGAAATTTCGACTCTTTTTATATTGTTTTGTGGAGAGACTTGTTTATCGCCTCTACCAGCATATTCTAGCATGATCTATCTTTTCCACCGACAATATTCATTGTGTTGTGTTGACACGCTGATTATCGTCTTCGTCATCACCTCTCCATCATCCGTTGTGTTGTGTTGACACGTTCATTATCGTCTTTGTCATCAACGACACCATCGCCAGCCACATCGTCGCCCTCACCGTCTTCGTCATCATCGCCGTCTTCACCATCGTCCTCCTCATCATCGCCGTCTACGTCTACTTCATCATCGCTTTCATCATCGTCAGCATCGTCCTTTCCTGACCTCGTCGTTGATGCGGATTTGGTTTGATGACTTTATCTTGAACACTTTGCTGAATTGTTTAATGAGCATTCTTGTGCTTGATTTTTTTCTTGATTGTGTGTATGTTTTGTTTGCCCGAACGAATATATGAACCTTGATTATTTGTATAATTATCTATATTGAATTGTTAATATGAATTATATAACCTTAATGTTTGATAGTGTTTTTTTTTCCTCGTGAGATGATGATGATGATGATTCACAGCATTTGAGATCGTAAAGTTAAAATGTACAACCCCTTCGAGGAGTCCTACACAGGCGCGGATCCACGTAGGGGCGGGGGGGGGGGGGGGATAGGCCAAAAAATAGTGCTTTTACCCCACCCCCAAAAAATAGTGCTTTACCCCCCCCCCCCTTCCCACACCCCCGATTATTTGCCGGCTTGCTATGTCGCCGATAAATATTTTCTCACGAATTGGGCCCCCTCTTGCCGCCGGATGGATCCGCCTCTGGTCCTACAAGTCAAAGATTATATCACCTGGAAGAACGTTAATGGAGTTACTGAAAAGCATGTAATTAGTTATTTCTAATTTCAATGAGAGTTTGTTCACTTTGATCCAATTAGTCGCTTTTCTTAATGCATTAATTTCAAGAGAAAGAAAAAAATGAATGACCGGCCGTGTCACAAAATTAGATATCAAATATGCTCATCTGACGTAATTAAATACCTAAAACCCCTGAGCTTACGGGTGCTCAGCTCCCTGGACCCCACCAAGCGCCCTAAGACGGGCCCGTGGATGCTCATCTGATCGTAATTAAATGCCTAAAACCCCTGAGCTTCCGGGGCTATTGAGCACATTTTTTTTTGGCCCTCCAAAATTTGAAAAATTGCACCCCCTCTTTAGCGCCAGGGGGGGGGGGGGGGACGGGGCCATCCTCAAAAAGAGGTAAAATTAACGCGTTTTAAACGTTTTTTTCCCAGGAAAAAAATAATCTTCTGTGTGTCCATGCCTTGAGCCATAATGCATGGCCGTACAGAGGATTTTTTTATGTTGGGGACCGGGGGGGGGGGGATTCAATGAATTATTGATATTTTATTGCCTTTAAAAAAAAAAAAAAAAAATTGTGGGAACTGCCCCCTACCCTAGCCCCCGCTGCGTACAGTCATGGTTCAGTGGCAAAGCAATGGCCTCGTAACTGTGAAGCCCCAGGATCAAAACCGTGTCGATGTGCCATACTAGTGCCCTTTTGTGAGGCATTAATCCTCATTACTGTCATTTATGACTTAAGGGCGTAGGGCCCCTAGTTGATAAGCATAGTAACATACACATGCTTTTGCAGTCACGCAAAAGAAACACTGGCAAATTATTATTCAATAAAATCTGAGAATGTATACTACTATCTAGATCTATTAGGAATAAATCATTGTCAAAATAATTCCATAAATTGGGGTAAAAAAAAATATTTCAACTACACTGTCGCTCATAAAGGTGGAATATTTTAGTTTTACCCCAATTCATGGAATTATTTTAAAAATTATTTAAAAATAATATATCTAGATAATAGTATATATTCTCAGATTTTATTGAATAATAATTTGCCAATGTGTGTTTTGCGGGACTGCTAAAGCATGTGTATGCTACTATGCTTATTAAATAGGGGACCTACGCCCTCAAGTCATAAATGACAGTAATGAGGATTAATGCCCCACAAAAGGGCACTAATATAGCATATCGACACGGTTTTGATCATGGGGCCTTACAGTTACGAGGCCATTGTTTTGTCACTGAACCATGACTGTACACAGCGGGGGCTAGGGTAGGGGGCAGTTTCCATAAATAAATAAAACAACAGAAAATGCAATAAATTTTCAATAATTTATTGCATTTTACCCCGGTCCCCAACATAAAATTCCTCTGAAGGGCAATGCATTATGGCCCAAGGCATGGGCACACTGAAGATTTTTTTACGTTGGGAACCGGGGTAAAATGCAATAAATTATTGAAAATTTATTGCATTTAAAAAAAATAATTTATTAATGGAAACTGCCCCCTACCCTAGCCCCCGTTGCGTACAGTCATGGTTCAGTGACAAAGCAATGGCCTCGTAACTGTGAGGTCCCAGGATCGAAACCGTGTCGATGTGCTATATTAGTGCCCTTTTGTGGGGCATTAATCCTCATTACTGTCATTTATGACTTAAGGGCATATAGGTCCCCTAGTTGATAAGCATAGTAGCATACACATGCTTTAGCAGTCACGCAAAACACAAATTGGCAAATTATTATTAAATAAAATCTGAAAATGTATACTATTATCTAGATATATAATTTTTAAATATTTTTTAAAATAATTCCATAAATTAGGATTTTAAAAAAATATTCCACCTTTATGAGCGACAGTGTATATGAGCGACCGTGTATAAATAAGTTTGAGAATTGAAAATGAGAAAATAATGGTTTATATACCTTTGTCAAAGTTCCCTTTTGCTATCCTCCCTTTTTGGAACTTGGAAAAAGTTTTAACAAATGCCTTAACCACGGAAACCCCGGGCCTGCATTTCGGCGAAACCAGATTTAATTGACCGACAGTTTGACAAATATTTAACCTCTATTAATTTGTACCGGGGGCAGAGGACAAGCCGCTTAATTCAGTTGGACGCTACCTTTAAGCTTGAATGCATGCTTACGATTCGGAACAATTGTTTAAAATACAATGAAAGAAACTTGACAAATGTCAAACAACAAAAATCGTCTTGTAAATAGATATACAAATGAGAGATATCAGAATAATTTGGGGAAAAACGACATGAATGACATAAACATTTTTCGACATCAACGATCTTTTAACTGAATAGTTGATTTTACCATGATTTTACCTTAGAAAACAGACAGCTCTCTCATCCCCCCCTCTCTCTATCTCTCTTTCTATCTCACGTCTCTCCCTCTCTCTCTCTCTCCTCCCTCTCTGTTACGTATATATATATATATATATATATATCTCCCTCTCTCTTATGTCTCTCCCCCCCCCTCTCTCTCTTTTTTCCTACTCTCTCTTCAATGTGTGTGTATGTATGCCTTTCCGTCTTTCTATATTTTTTTTTTATCTCTCTCTCTTTCCTAATCCTCCCTCTGTGTATGTCTCTTTCAGTTCGTCTCCCTCTCTTCATCTCTCTCTCTCTCTCTCTATTTCCCCTCTCTCTCTTCCTATTTAAATATATCTTTTTGGAATCCGTTAATATCAGGACTCTTAAACATTTAAAAAAAAAAAGATCTTGATGGATTGCACTTTGATTAAAGGGATAGTTGAGTTCTGTTTTCAGACCGCAAATGCCTTCAAAGTGCCTGCTTATTGCTCTTATTCTTATCTATGACATTTCTAGTGCCCTTTTTGGACCTAAAATTGCTATGAAGGTAATTTTAGACCCCTAAATGTGTAAAATTTAGCCAATACGATCATACCAATTCAGCTCCCTTTTCGTGACCGTTAATCAATTAATTAATTAATAATAACAATACATGGGCCGGCTGGTTGTGCGTAATATAACCAACACAATAAAGCCAACAAAAGAATTCCAACATCGGCATTGGCTGAAATACAACGTAAAATACGCTATTTCGTTTTTTTCAACAGCTTTTTCAAATTATCGAATATTTGTGTTGGTACACAAATATTAGAAATCGTTATATTTATGGATATTTCAGCCGTCTCTGAACCGATTTTGATTAAACAAAGATGATTTTGTCATTTAAATTGTATGTTCTTTCAAATTTGTCACTCAGTTTTTCATTACCTCACACACACTCAAATATTTTGTGTAGCACCCTCTGCAACAGAACTCAACTATCCCTTTAACTCAGAGCAAGGAACGAAAAACAAAGGAACATATATATGCTAACCAACAATATCAATTGTTTATTATCATCATTTCAGAGTTTAAATTTATAGAATATACGGAAATTAAAAGAAAATGGGATAGAATGTTAGGCAATCTTGATAACACTGAATAATGAACACAATACATTATCTTAATCTAACTTGTACTTGATGAGATGGGGTGTACTATAAGGGCTTATATTCCCTGAGTGGTAAAAGTGAATGCTCTAACTCAATCCAGTTGATATTTGTATTTTTTTTTAAACAGATATAGATAATATTAATAATAATAGAGTATTTATACAGTGCATTTTCCATATATAAGTTCAAATGCGCTTTAAATTTATGTAATGTAACAGAAGAGGTGAGTTTTTTTGTTTTTGTTGAAGGAATTGAGGGATTGTTGGTTGCGAAAGAAAGAAATAGCTAATAAGAAATGCAAACTCCATTCTAGAAATGATGATACTTTTAAATAATCCTGCGAATACAGAAATGCTCAAGCCTCACCGAACGAGGCCGACCCGGGACTGAATGAAAAATGAATATGATACAGATTTTTTTTAAATGTAAGAATTTGTGATATCATGACTAACTTAACCCTTTCCTTGCCTTGGTGGTCTAAAGGAACAAACAATGCATTGCTACAGTCGACTTTTATCACACCTGTATTGTATATGTACCATATACTAAAAACGTTATGGCATTTTACAATTTCCATGCACGTTGGTTAAAGAATTAATAGCATGAGGTGGACATGAGAAGAAAGATTAGTTTACAAAAGTCCTGGCAAGTAGGGAAAACTAACCACCAATAATGTCGAGAAAATGAAATGAAATCTTGATCTATTATAAATAGAATATAGAAACGTTTGATATCGTCACTAATATTACTTCATCAATGTTGTAATCAACGATAAATCAATTCAAATGTTATGTTGTCTTTCACGAGTGTTCCAATGATAAGGTCAATGACAAATACAATGATAATGACAATAACAATTACAATCATCACTAAATGTTGACAATGACAATGTCAGCGGAAATGACAATAATATTAACAATGTCAATCACCACGTTGCATTATCATTAACAATCACGCCCACCGGGGTTTATGCGTAGTAAGTATCACTGGCAACGTTTAGAAGGCGGTTATTGGAAGGTAAAAACGCGGCGTTGCTCGCTGGAAGATGCGTCATCTTGTCCTTGGAACTTGTCGCAACAAGGATGTCCAGGACGAGATCAGTCATTGACTTCCTCCCAGTAGGTGTCAGGCTAGTGGTGGACAGAATCATGGCCGCAGCACCTAGGTACACCAACCGTTAAAGATATGATAATAATAATAATTAAAATTATACTAATAGTAATAGTTGTATTATGTGTTTTATAGCACACATGTCAACCACGCACGGTGCTCAAGGCACTCCAATATTACCCCGGCTCTGCTATATGCTACGGTTCTCGATGCTCACAGCATTCGAGGAATTCCTTCCTACCGGTACCCATTTAACCCCTGGAAGGCCAGTGGCGAATGTAGAACTGCGAACCATGTGAGCTGTTGCCCGACGACGTAAACACTAGACCACGACACCTCTACTTGCAATCATCAACTAACACCTTTACCAGAAGCATTAAAATTAGATTCATTCTGTGACAAAAATCATTTGTTGCTGTACTAATCTGAGGACATTGCTTTACCTTCAATTTCCCACACTAACCGAATTCATAACTTCAACCCTGGACCAAACATTATTTTGAAGGTTTTAGGATTAGGTTTAATCACAACTCTAACCTAACACCCAACTGCAACCCTCTCCCTCTTGCTATTATTATTTTACTCTTTATTAATATTATTATTCATATTTTTATTATTATTATCATTATTATTATCGTTATCATTATTATTATAATTATTATTATCATTTTTCTTACCTGCCACCGCAGGTGTTGCAAAGGAGGTGCCGGATGATCTCAGGTAGTTGGAATTACTGCTACCGGAAGGGGCAGCGAGATCGATATTTCTTGCTGGGGCGTAGATGTCGACACAAGGACCGTAATTGGAGATTCCGATACGACTGTCGGACATGCCATTTTGACGGGCTCTCGACCCTCCGACCGTGATAACCTAAGAGCAAAAAGCAATGTGCAAAAAAAAAGTATTGCACAGGGGTGTCGAAGGCGCGAAGCGTCTTTCAAAGGAGGAGAGGTAGCAGAAACTCTGGAGAAAGATGGGGGTACTGACAAAGCGTAACCGCTAGGCGGAAAAAATACAATTTTGAGGCATTTGTATATATGTGTATTCCTAAATTCTAGTTGATATATTTTCAAGGATCATCAATATGTTATTGCTTTTCTCCTTATGCGGTTATAGATAGCGGTTTTAGCGTCATACTTTGCAGTTGTTTGTAATGAACGTAATACTTTATTTGCGAGGGAGCGAATCAAGTGAACGGGAAATTTAAGATTAATTCCATAATTACATGAACTGTATGTGAGCGAGTGTAGCCAATCGGCTTTGGGGGTAATTTCACAAAATAGGGCTCTCAATTGCTTTAAATTAGGGATACATATTGCTTTGGGGGAAGGGGAGGGGTAGAGAAATGTCTGATCATAGCACCTATTGTGATAATGCCTCTTTGCAACATGATTGATTTTTAAATGTGCTTTGTAGTTCCTGTGAGTTTACCAGATTCGAAAATGAGATCTTATCACATTTGAAAAGGGACACTAAGCCCAATTCAATTTGATTTAAAGGAGAAAAAACTCATTAGAAAAGAAAAGGGTGACTTAACAGAGAAGTGCACTTCTCAGATTTGAATAGCGACTTATCAGAGAAGGAGCACTCTTTTGGAAGGGAAACTGAAGGGGTACTCTTCATTTAAAAAAAGGGGAACTTCTCCTTTTTGAATAGCTACTTATGAGAGACGAAGGGGGGGGGGGGCACTTATTTGCAGGGGGAAAGGCCACTCATCGTTAAAGAAAAGGAGCATTCTAAATGTTTTTTTTAACAAATATTAAAAAAAAAAACATCGATAGACTATAGGCTAGGACTTGTATAGAGCGATTCTCTTCCCATGGTTTTTAGGACCACTGTAATTCTCCGTCCAACAGAGATGGGGGCCATCAAAGAGCATAACAACAGATGATTCGTTGTCTTATTAAATCAGACTGGTGCCAGGTAGTCCGGGAACTAAAGCAGGAACACGTTTTTAACATAAGTTAAAACTAGTATTAAGCGTACTCGATGCCCCTCGAAGGATCTCCCCTCCCCATTATCGACAGGAGGGGGGGGGGGGGGGGGGGCTTACGCGTACAACTTAAAATAATGTGCAGCGAGAAGGTGACTTGTTGAACTCGCCATTGCTCCTTCTGAATGCCAAAAATTCGAGAGGGCGACTTGTTAAAACTCGGCAAGGGGCCTCGTTTCAGTTGAGAAGTAGAGAAGATAACTGAATTAGGCAGAGCGCCTTGTTTAAGTAAAGATGGTGAGAAGGTGAATTGTTAAAACCCGCCAAGAAGCCTTGTTAATAACGAGGAGATGAGGAGATGACTTGTTAAAACTCTTTATCGTATTCTCGACCTAAACAAAAGGCAAAACGTCAAACAAGTCGCATTCTCGCTGCACGCTCAACCGCTCGTGCGCCCTTCCACGTTGAGCTCTCCGAATCGGTGAATATTTACATTGGGTGATCCAGACGGAGAGTAGTTACAGGCATTAGCCTCGCTGAAGTGCGAACCTTGGTTTCCGGCTGCCACGACGACCACGCAATCAGTGTTTTTGCTGAAGTTCCCGAAAGCATAGATGAGTGTCGTACTAAATGACGTGGAAATCAGTGAGTAGGAGACGACACACTTAGAGCCCGGGTTGCTGTTCCACCAACGTTGAACATTGTCAAGCCCTGTATGAATAGGATGTAAGAAAACAAATAATATAGGTGACAAGACATGCGTTCCTGCCACAATATTGCTGCTTGATTTATTTCGTGATTGGTATAGAGTCAGGCGCGGATCCAGGATTTCTTAGGGGAGGGGCCCAACTTTTTTTTTTGCTCCCAAAAATTTGAAAATCGCGCCGGCCGAAAAGTCGCTCAGTGGGGGGTGTAGTGAGCACATTTTTTTTTGGTCCTCGAAAATTTTAAAAAGGTAAAAATCACGTGTTTTTACATGACTTTTTTTCTCAAGGGGGGGGGGGGGGGTCCGGCCCCCCTGGATCCACCACTGTATAAAGTAATGGTTAAGGTTGCGATTGGATTGAAGGTTAGGTCTGGGGGTTAGGGGGAGGTGTTAGGGTTATGGGTTGGGTATGCCTATATAATAATTATTGGCCTAGTTTGGGTTCCAAATTTGCAGTTAATAATTCGGTTATTGACTTTTGTAGCAAAATTTACGTGAATCAATATGTCGAGCCACTTACCGGAAACATCACAGATTTACCAATGGATCGTTTTTCTTCAAAATATAATACATTTCATCGCAAACACTTAATACAATTCTTACACAGCTACTATGTGGAGCAAATTGCGATTTGATTTATAAGTACAACGACGTGAAAGGCGCTAAACAGGAAACGACTCTGGATTTAATAATATTGAATCATTCAACATTTTCGATAGCTTTATGTCATCCAAACTTGTTTCTAGAGATATAGAGCTGCACATGAAGAATTATGCAGTAGGGTCCAGAGGTTCGTGGAAATATGTATCATGCATGGGCTAAGTGGATCATTATTAAATGAGAGTTTAACCCCTCGTTTCGTTAAATTTAACCAAGTTCTGTTATTTAAAAAAGAAACTCGATTGCTGAAAACACAAACGTGTTCAAGGCATCGGAATCGACGTGGCCGGTAGGCAGGTATACATTAAACACAGTCGGAACAGTTGACGGCGCTTTTATATGTTTCTTGACATGTTAAAAGGACTGATCCCTCAGAAGTCCAATAACCCGAATCAACAACATTTCTATATCAAGGCCTTTATATGTTTTGTTTGTTTGTTTGTTTGTTTACTTTGTGTTTAGTTTTATTTATTCATTTAATTTATTTTTTCTTTGATTTTTTCTTGTTTTTCCCCTCCTGTTTATAAATTCATGTACTCATAGAATCGAACAATACGATCACTAAGACTTTCAAGAAATCGATAAGACCAAATTCTATTTCCTATGGTATTGGTCCTATAAAAGTTTTTTTTTTTTTTGGGGGGGGGGGATTATTTAATATGTTCGCTCGAATGTTACATATTCCAAAGTTGATGACAAGTAGGGTGATTTTTGTCTTCAGTTTTGCTATTGTTTTAAAGGTACTATGTCCCTTTTGCAGCCAACCTCAAATTCCGTAGAACTTTGCAGGAATTATGAATATGTCATGTATGTCCTATCTGTGAAATTTAAACGTTAGCAGTGTCCTCATATTCAAATTATGCAAGGAAACCCGTTTACTTGCTAGACTTCACTGTCAGACACTATTAAATAACTGACTGGCTTTTTCTTCTTCTTTGGTAATAACATACATGAAAAGAGTTGTAAAGGGTACATGAGCATTTGTCTACATTAATAACCCACTTCTTGTGATGGCCAAGATTAAACTGATTGAATCTTTGCGCAGCATAAAACGTATGACCATTCGGTACAATTGTCTGAAAATCAAGACTATTACTTTTGGGCTCTATAGCCCTAAAGTCGATTTGACAACTAATAGTCATTATTTTCCCATTTGAAGACATTTTCAAGCCCCACCTTTTTGAGGGAAGTTCTAAATAAGTATTATCTTTCAAATGCAGTTGGAATTTAACTTTTTCATTTGTTTGGCCTGCAAATGGGACATAGTACCTTTAAGGATAAAGTTAAGTTCTTGTCATGCGATTCAATAGTAAAAGAAATTGCGTGGAAAAGGTTAATCATATTGCAGATAAGTATTTCTGGAAATTGTGAGGTTTTGGAATCATCATCATGATGATAAATTTGCCCAGTTTTTATGAAAGTCACATCGGCACAGAAATGTGTATATTGGGCTGTGCTTGTGACATGATATATTTAACGAGTATTTGTCATATTATGAACATGAAGGCATGTGAAGAGCCATCCTTCCTCACAAAAATGAACAGAATGAAAAAGCTCCCAATTTCCTTTCACTTTTTCCAGAGCTCAAACTTGTCTAAATTCTCGTTCAAAGTACATACCTTCGAGGACGTCGTCAGCCGCGGCTAAGCCATCGGATCCAGCGACCCGAATGCTCTTTACGGTCGCGCCCCGAGCGACTCCTATGTTGGCCCCGGCGGCTACGCTCGCACAGCGGGTCCCATGGCCATTGACGTCCACCATAATGGGCGACTACAAAGCAAGAATAAGGATATATGAGAGAAATGAAAACGTAACAATTAAGCCTCCTTCAGACAGCTAGCTGTAATTAACAGCTGTTTTTTGGTGTTTTAGTAAACAAAACTTTTAGGCCTATATATATACTAAGCAAATATTAATCGACTACGAGGGTAGAATTACAAACTATCATCGCCGAGGTGATCTCGAGGCTACTATCATCCCGAGATCACCGAGACGATGATAGTTCGTATATTGCCCGACTAAAGGAGGTAAATATTTGTTTTATATCCGACATCGGCAATAAGGTCTATTTAAGGTGAATTTTACATAATTAAAAGAACTTATTCTGCAGACAGTTTATCTTCAGCTAGATTTTACAAAGCACAACATGCATACATGTAATAAAGTCGATGCGCGCTCATTTGACATTGATATTGACATTGACATTTCGCGTAACCTACTTTGCTATGCTTATTCAATGGGCAAGAGGGGCAGCAGCAAAAAATTAATGTACAAAAGTCCTATCGCAGGGAGATAGTACTTATCTATCATTGTTCATGTGACCACATTTAGACCAATCAGATTGCACGATTCTTAGTATGCGGGATATAAAGTGTAATACGCTTCACATTACTTAATCTTATAACACAGAGCTCAGCGCATACGCGTTGGACCTTTATTGCCCGCACTTGCCATTCATTTACACGTTTTGAAAAAAATAGGGGAAAACCCTCTTTTTTTGAGGGGGGGGGGGGCGGCAGATTTACCGCATCATATATGAACCAGATTTTAGGCATCCGCAATGGCCTGTCTACTCTACCCCCTCCATTTCCTACAAACAGTATCGGATTCAAGCTGGACAATCATCCCCATATAGGCCTCCCTGCCCCATTAAAACTCAACTGTTACCTAATTATGTACCCAACGGAACCCATAAAACACAACAACAATAAAAAAAAAGGCCCAATTAATGATTTTTTTTTCTTCTCACAAAATCCTGGCTCCCGGCTCAGTGGTCCACCTATATTACGCCATATTTCCCGGTTTTTGACAAACAAGACTTTTGACCACTTTTCATATATTCTATTTCTTCCGTAGCATGCATGGTTAGTAATGAGATTTTTTTAAAGGCATAGGGGGGGGGGGGCATTTCTTTGTTTTTTTGAGGGGGGGGGGCGGCAGATTTACCGCATCATATATGAACCAGATTTTAGGCATCCGCAATGGCCTGTCTACTCTACCCCCTCCATTTCCTACAAACAGTATCGGATTCAAGCTGGACAATCATCCCCATATAGGCCTCCCTGCCCCATTAAAACTCAACTGTTACCTAATTATGTACCCAACGGAACCCATAAAACACAACAACAATAAAAAAAAAGGCCCAATTAATGATTTTTTTTCTTCTCACAAAATCCTGGCTCCCGGCTCAGTGGTCCACCTATATTACGCCATATTTCCCGGTTTTTGACAAACAAGACTTTTGACCACTTTTCATATATTCTATTTCTTCCGTAGCATGCATGGTTAGTAATGAGATTTTTTTAAAGGCATAGGGGGGGGGGGCATTTCTTTGTTAGGTCTACATTCAATTATCACCTTCCTTCACCACGTTTTTTTAACGTTAGGCCTATATAAGTGATGTTCTTCGTAATACGCATGAGAGGAATAACGGGGATATTGATTTGATTCACGTAAGATACTAAAGAGTCGTGAAGTAATAATAATACTCACGTTTGGTGTAACGGTATCGTTATAAAACCTAACGCGGCCGTTGGTAAACTCATCGTGAGTAGACAGGACTCCAGTATCAAGAATGAAGATAGTCACGTCTGTCGCATCATCTGAGGAAGAAAATACAAAAACATGGACATTACAAAGCTGGGGTAGGGTATAGTCTAACCCTGAAGGCAGTGACGTACCTGGCATACCTCGTCAGGGGGAGGGGGGAGCAAGGGGATATGTAGGTGTGTAAAGGGGTGAAGGGGGACTAGGGTTGTACCCCAAAACACAGGGGGGGGGGGGGCAATTCGTGAGAAAATATTTAGCGGCGTTTCGCGCTTGCATGGACTGGGTGGAGTCTGAGGGGGGATGTGCCCCACTGAAAAGCTGAAGAAAAAATTTCAAACTCAATTCGGGCGATTTGGTGTATACATTTTGCCAGGATATCATTATAAATCTGTGACTCTTTCCAGCATAAAATTATGATAAGCCTTGGATTTCCTGGGAGGAAAAGACTGTAAACACAAAAAGCGGGACACGCCGGTGTAGAAAAAAATGTCTTTAGGACACTGGTATTCATGACACCGGTACCTCGAGGTGTAAGTGTTTAATATTGATACATGTTTAACTAAACACAATAATGATTCCCTCAACAAGATCATGAGTCCATAACGTATAATATTTATCCTTTTTATTTCATTTCTAAACAAGATCCTCAATGCAACAATGTTGACAAGGATATAATTGACATGGTACAGTTTCCTAGTACCTCAGGTATCACTTGATTGTTAAAACCAGTCAGCACAAGACTAGTACATCAGTTGGGATGGGCAGAGAAAAATCACTGGCGTCTGGCTTCAACGTTTTTCAATTATTATTATTATTTTATTTTTTTAATTTTTTTTTGGAAGGGGGGCAACCAAATATAAACGGCACTTTCCTGGAAAAGGGGGCACCTACAGAGGGAAACCTCAAAGCGAATATATACATTTTTTAAAGAAATTGGTATACACCCTTACATTTTGAGTACATTATCAGGGATGCTTTTACTGTTTGTTTTTCCCTTGACATGGTCCAAGGTACTGTTTAAGCATCATACATGTTCTTTGTAGTTAGTGGTGACGTCGCAGTTTAAAAATTACATCTTATAAAGAGGAAAAACAATCCGGACGGGGTTTCACAATCTAATCATGAAAGACTGAAAAGATCTTTGATAAGAAACATAATTATATAAAATTTAAATACGAGCGAGAGTAGCGAGCCAGATTCGGGTGAAATTAAAGACAAAGTTGATCCTAATCGCTTTAAATTAGGAACACTTTTTATGGGGAAAGGAAAATAGGGCACATATCCAAAGGGAAAAGGACACTTATTAGAAAAGAAAAAAAGAGGGACTCGAGCCCACCGCGGGCCCTGTACATTGTGTAACGGCATGATGATTTGACAGATGGACCTGAAGCTTGAGTCCTGACATACTTTTGAACGTTGTAACTTGTCCGCCCTATAGTGTAGAGCGATCATAGGCATATGTTTTTATATTATAGGCCTAAAACACGAATAAGGGCTAGTTCTGATGACCTGAAAACTACCCAAATCTCGGTGCATGGCTAGCTAAACCACGGGGCCTTGGCCTATATACGGATAAGTGAGTGCCCTGGGTCCACTTATAAATCGTGTTTTTAGCCCTTCTTTCTTCCCTTTTCCTTTACTTTCCGTTTTTGTTGTTGCTTGTCAATCAGACGTTTAGACATTGATCCACTTTTTAGCCATGGTGATGATGACCTTTATTTGTTTAATTTAATGTGTGCTTGCTTGTCACTCGTCGGTGGGGGGGGGGGGGGGTTAGGGGGCAGACTTCCCCCCCCCCCCTCGTAGGTACGCTGGTGCCTGAAGGGCTACATATAGGGCCAGTGAAACAAAACTTCTTCGGCGGTTTTATGAACCAACAAATCCGTCACAGATGTTTCTCTGGCCTTGTCGAGTTATATATGGCGTCAAAATGACCTAGTAAAATAAAATAATGAATAAAATGTCTTATAACAGTGTTAGTACGGCTCTTCCTACGGGCCGTGCTTTTTTTTTATTTCCCCAGCGGTTTCCAGGTAAAATTCGATTGATTTGGTAAACAATAAAACGTTTTTTTTTTACATTTTGATTAGTTCTATCTTACTTTTGTTGTCTTTTTGTGTATAATGCAAGTACTGGAATTTCATATTCTGCACTTTTGCGCCTTGAGAGTTTGGTTTGATGTCATTTGGAATCGGTGTCTTAAAATGTTATCATAATATTTTTAATATCATTATCATTATCTTTAGTATTGCTAGTATTCTTCTTCTTCTTATTATTATTATTATTCCTAATTATTATTCTTATTATCATTGTTATTATCATTATTATTATTATTAACATTATCAGAATTATCATTATTATTATTATATCAACACTATCATAATTATCATTATTATAATTATTATTATTATAATCATCGTTATTATAATTATTATTGTTGACTCACTTCTGTCATAAGGAGCTCCATCACGGGGAAGAGATGCCTGGTCGATTCGGTCCAGTAGCAGGATGGGCGGATTCGGAAGTGCAGCGGCCGTAACCCAGCAGCGTTTTTCATCTTGAATTATTACCAGGGTACAGATAATAAGGAGAAAAACAGGTTTTCCGCCAAACATTCTGGATGATCCGCGAATGCTACAAGAGATATCAAGAAAATAAGAAAATAATGAACTGGGAGCGTTGCGACTAGCGGGGTCCGCATTTAATGGCGAGTTGCTCAAAATGAATGATGGGAAAGTTGTACGACACTTGCTCGTGTGACAACATTTCGACGTCAATCTCCTACAGTAAGCGAATTCTGAATGTTAAAGGGTGTGTAGCATGACGAGGCTATGCGTCTTTCCCGTGCCCCTACTCGGGGCCAATCGGGTAAAAATACGACTACGGACGACGCGACGCAGCATTCCCGTGCGTGCAACATACGCGAAACAGGAGCGTGAGGAGAACTTCGGTCTGTTTCGCGGACGTTATCGCGCGCTGACCCAGTTAATCAAGTCCATTCGTTTACGTGCAGTTGTCCAAAAGAAGACATAGATGGCGTTAACCAGTATTTGCCACACCACACTCCCTTTAACTCTGAACCCAGCGCTCTACTTACCATAATCCTTACCTTATATTTAATCTTAAACCAAAATGTAAGCCTAGCTCTAACCCTATACCCTTTGAAGAAGAAAACAAAAAACAAGCAATTAGAGCAGGGCCCAATGTCAGGTCCCAGCTGGGAAATGTGATATTGTTTAGGCTAAATACAAACGCAACCCTATAGATCGGTGTTATTGGTGCAGACTATGTTGGTAGATGAAATCACCAAAGTCAATTGTATAGCAACAACGCTAGTTTTGCGGAAAGAGACTCGGCAGAGACTTTTAGTTGGATGCAATCATCACAGTCTCTTTGCTGTTGATGAGCGGTTTAAGATACCAGGAGCTTTCAATTTCTGGGATTTTAAAGGAAAATCCAACATGTGTAGTCTAGTACTCTAAACGAAAGCAGACAATTCAGAGAAGCAGACTGATAAGAGTTTGAGCAAAAATGGACACAAGCTATCAGGAAGCTAATTAATTCAATTAAGGGCATTTCACGAAATTGGCTGAATCGGTAATGTCACTGTGACGTAGTGCCGGACAAATGTCCGATCTGTTTCAGTACAAATATGATTATAATTTTTTTTCTTCAAAATGTATAACTCAAAAGGGTCTTTTTTAAGCAGTGGTATTAATTTGTTGGATGCAATCATCACAGTCTCTTTGCTGTTGATGAGCGGTTAAAGATACCAGGAGCTTTCAATTTCTGGGATTTTAAAGGAAAATCCAACATGTGTAGTCTAGTATTCTAAACGAAAGCAGACAATTCAGAGAAGCAGACTGATAAGAGTTTGAGCAAAAATGGACACAAAATATCAGGAAGCTAATTACTTCAATTAAGGGCATTTCACGAAATTGGCTGAATCGGTAATGTCACTGTGACGTAGTGCCGGACAAATGTCCAATCTGTTTCAGTACAAATATGATTATAATTTTTTTTCTTCAAAATGTATAACTCAAAAGGGTCTTTTTTAAGCAGTGGTATTAGTCATCAATTAGATTAACGTCATCCAGAAATGGGATTTTTGTATGAGGTGTACACTGTTAATAGAAAATTGCATTTAAAAAGCACCACCAAAGGACGTCAGCATAAAGAAAAGTCCCGACAATTCTGCACACTTGCTTCTCCCACTTGTTTGTAACTGTGTTATCTAGTAACAGGAGACAGCCAATCGCTCAGAGAAAGCTACCGATTTGGCGGTCGCCTCAGGAGACGCAGGAAGGCGGTGACGGTCTGATTATTTACATCTTATCTAGAATGTTCTCTACAACATGGTGTAATTTGTATAATATTCTGGCAACGACAGCAGATGTCTTACTTATATGAATAGTTAACACTGTATTGATTCATTTATTTATTTGGGGGAGGGGGTTTACGTTTATAAAAATCTCAGATAAGCTCCCAAGATAAATCTTCAATAAATCTTTCACCGATGTAATTCCAATTTTACTGCCTTAATATTCTGCTAATTTGATATCAGTATCGATTATTCCTTTAACATTAAGTCTGATCTTGAAAAAGTAGAGTTCAGATTTAAAATGATTAGGAAATGTTCATTAGCCAACACTACACGATTAGATTACACTGAGCATTTAATAGATGTTATAGTTTGCTTACCAAATACTTTGGAGAAATTTTGGTGACTGAGGGCGCGTTCATGCTTGATTTTGACGGCCAGAATCAGGCATCTGTTACGCGTTTAGTTTAAAACACGGTTGCGTCTTAGCTCACTTTTGTAGAATCACCGAAAAACGGCGATCACGATCGCCGATCGTAAACTCACAAAAAGATGCGTTTACAATTTGTAAACGCGTTTAAATGGGGTCAACGCACTGACCTCTAGTGGGTCTACGTAGCATGCACAGTGAAGGTTTGCGAATCCAGCTGGAAGACCAATTAAGGCCACACACTAAGAATTGCCTGGGGGAGCCAGAGAAGTAAGCATGAACACTACATCGTGGAACTGCGATCACGATGAGCGTTTACGATGAGCGTTTCAGATCGCTCATTCTGCCTTCAAAATTTAAGCATGAACGCAGCCCAATTCTTTCTTCTAAGGCACGGCAGGAACGACGCATCTGTTTCGACGTATTAAACGGCGTTACATCTATTGTTGGCGGAGATACCGTCTAAAAGTGATTTAACACCTATTGTTTTTTTCGCTATTTATTAAGGTGTTTGGACTGCCAGATCGCGTTGATTGCTAATGCCACGCCCGTGAGTTCACTGTTGACCGATCGAGGGTCGATGAGATCAGGTAGGCACAGGTTCACGGCCACCATATCGAATCGGAAAATCAAACCAGACCATATGGTTTTCGGTTGAATAATGCATTCTTCGTAATAAAATCCTTGGCATTGTTTTAGTTAGATAAAATAGATTACATAATTAATTATTTTTATTTATTCATTTACTCAAGGTAAAATATAAAATATGATAATCAGCCCGAAACTAAATTGTTTATATTTTACCAGCAATTTTTAAAAATACATAAAAATAAAATATTTAAAATTGCAAAAAATATACAAACGCCAGATGATACTCAAGGTACATAACATACTGTTTTTTAACAAACAAAAACAAAACAAATATCATAAGTCACAAAACATAGTTCATAGAGAGAAGTAATTGTGATTTGGATCGATAAATTATGCCCATCGTTCCCACCATTCTATCCATCCTCTTCTTCTCTCTCTCTCTCTCTCTCTCTATTTTCCTCTCTCTCTCTCTCTCTCTATTTTCTCCCTCTCCCTCTCTCTCTAGCATGTAGGTTGTTTCGCAGATATATCGATAATTTGGTTATAGATATTTGGTTGAATTTAAAGTTCATAGTATTTATGAAAAGTACAAAAGAGAATATAATTCTAATCAACAGTATCCTTATCAAAAAGATTTAAAATATAACATAATTACAAGCCGCCATAGTGCTTTTACCTCAGTGCATGTATATTGCACGGCATATTTATGGATCTTCTCCAGTTATTACTTTAAATTTGCGTATGATGAGGTATAGTGGAGAGCACTTCTTTTGTAGCGCTCCGTTTTGCAAAAGACTTCGGAATAGTCTCGGCCATTTCGCAATGATCGACAATGTAAAGTTGATCACAAGGGAGGAGGCCAGGGGTGAAAGTTAGATGATGGGCTAGGCCGCTAGGCAATCTTTCGACCGGACTCAATGCTGTAATCTAGCTGAATCTAGCCGAGGACCCAGGTTCGAAACTGAGTCACGTCTTTCTGATGGTGACGTTTAAACGTCGGTTCCCAGACGTAATTAATCATATCTGATTGATACACTTCTGTAAAAACCCAACACACATTGTGAGAAGGCAGTCCCGATTCTTTGAGAGCATTTTGGTAATTACAGTAGTGCGGTCCAAGCTCGTATTTGGATTCCTTCCATCTCGTTACTTTGGTTTTCAGTTAGCCCAGAGCGCTAAACAGGGGCACAATATTCTACCACGGGCCGAAAGTACGTCGAACAGTAGACACATATTGATGATAAATCATTTGCTGGAAGCTTGAATCCGTTCAGTATTCTGAGCATGAGTAGTCTTGTGCTTGCTCGCTTGACAATATTCACATGACATGAACATTTCAGATCATTTTGAACCAGTACCCCAAGTAATTTTACAACCGACACTTCACCCAATTCATGATTATCAATGCGTATTGGGGTGACACTGTCTCTGAACACATGAAGTGGACATTCATTACAACAAATTAAATCAATTGTATGTGAATTTGCGAGTATGATTAATTACTATTCAATATGTATACTTTTTTTTCTATATTTATTCAAAGTAGGTCACGAAGCTTCGGCTGAATTGTACAATACAAAAAAACAACGAATATAACAATACTATACCAAAATATCATAAGGGTTAAAATGATACGCGATTAGGCAAGGTAGATATGAACCATATATTATATTTGTCTATCTATCCTGGGGGTGTTTCACAAAGATCCTAAGTAGAACTTAACACTAAGTTGGACTTAAAATTTATGGACAGCCATTGGAGCCTTAAAATGAAATATATTCAAAAGCAGAAATTCAAGTATTTTAGACTTTTTTAAAAATAAATTTCACATCAAGAACATGAAATCTCCTTGATGATAGAAAATATGAATGATTCGAATCAACATTTTATGCCTTTCAAAATAACTTTTACAAAATATTTTCAAAGATGCTAACGGCTTTCCATAATTTTTAAGTCCAACTTAAAGATAAGTTCAACTTAGAATCTTTGTGAAACACCCCCTGGGTTCTTCCAAGTTCGGAGGTTTACTACAAATTTGTTTCCACACATCTCTGTTATCTGCCATTCTAGTATACTCATGCAGTGTCATTCCTTTTCAGGTGTTTATTTTCTCCTCCCAGTTGGTTCTCGGCGTCCCTCTCATTTTTTTTCTATTTTACCTCCTAACAAACTTTCTAGAGACCCCATGTCTTTCAATATGACCAACATTTTTTTGCTTTTCTTTCTTGAACTATTTCTATGCGGATATTATGTTTAAGCCCTGCCATGTAAAATATCACTTCTTTTTTGGGGTAAAATGAATTAATTGATTAATATACATGCTTTTGAACAAATTGTATCAAAAGTGTAATTCCTTTCGTTTCTTGATTATTTCCTATCTCGATAGCTAATAGGGCTGAAAGAGGGCATCCCTGACGCACGCCTTTTGTTATGTTAATTTGTTTTGTTAATAACCAACCGTTTACATTGACACTGCTTTTAACATTTGTGTACAGAGTTGTGACCCATCTGTAAAAATAATTTTTCAAATCCCAATCTCCGTAAACATTCAAAGAAAAAAAATCCCAACTTAGACATTTTTTAAAGGCTTTTCTAAAATCTGTTAACAATGCAAGTCCTTTGTCTGAGTGATTTTGGACATGATAAAATAGATTTAGATTTATGAAATATCTTAGTGTTCAACGTATCAACCTATTGAGGCGATGGGACTGCCTGCCAGGTCGCGTTGATCGCTATTGCCACGCCCATAATTTCTCTGTCAACCAATCACGGGTTGATGAGATTACGCAAGCACAAGGTCAAGGTCACCATAATTTCCAAACGGTCAAATAAAATCGGACCTTATGGTTCTATTTATGAAACAGTGCAATTAATCCTTGGCATCGTTACAATTTAATTAATTTGATGACGGAAGTATAAGGTGTTTCTCACAGCTAATTGATTTATCTTACTTTATATAAATTTGCGAGTATGGTTGGTAACTAGTTCAATTTCAAAGTTCAAGTTTAATATTTTTCCACTGGCTCAAAATACATATGTAATAAAACATATACAAAACAAAGCAGTGGATTACGACAACCCGTACAATAATAATCTTGTAATTTATTCATTAAGTTATGTACATACTGCTTTAGTGAGCACATATGTTGCACCGTTATCAAAGAATTGCAGAAAATACCATTATTCTTAATAATATCTTAATTTGAGAATAAGCGGAGGAACCTATGCAAGAAGCAGAGCTTGATAAGATATAGGTCCCCTTTCAGGAAAAAATCTAACTTGTATTCAAGAATGATAAGATAGGGAAAAGAACTAGTTTAGTTTTTTTTTTTTTTTTTTTTTTTTTGGAGTGTAATGCACTTGGAGAGTATATAACTATTATGTTTGTATTTTAAAATGTAAAGCGCCTTGAGCATGTTCATGTAAAGGCGCTCAATAAATACCAATATGTATGTATGTATGTATGTAAAAGGGAAGTGAATAGAGAAGGAAGAAGGAAAATGAGAAAAGGTGGAATAGAAAGAAAGAAAAAGGAGAAAGAGAGAGAGAGAGAGAGAGAGAGAGAAAGAGAGAGGGGTTGCAGCATACTATTCTTAAGGGTTCAAGCAAGTACATTGCAACAATTTATTCATTTTTGCTAGCAATATTTCATATCTTGTATTTTTCTTTAAATCTTTTTTTGTTGTTTTGTTTTCTTGTTACTACTTTAATGTTTTAACTTAAAAATGTATTCATTGTTGTATATTTGTCCTCATTTGCTATGTTATCTTTATGTTTTTGAATGCTTTTTATATTGATGTAAACTTGCATTTTTAGTCTTCGGACTTGTTGACAAGTAATGAATAAAACCTTATTTGAATTTGAATTTGAACTTGAACTTGAACAAAAGGGTAGTGCGCAGTTGTAAACTCTGAAGGACTGTCAGGCTCATCATGAGAAGCCTATTGGAATTTACAAAGGGAGAAACTTGTTAAACTTATGCGCATGATATGTTATGATATATTCATATGAATACCGTAGGGTTAGGGTTGCCAAGTCCTGTATCCACAAATAATCGTAACCATGAGTACTCTGCTTTATTGTAAAGTTCAACACAACATTAAAGAAGCTACGTACATATAATGACACCTTTATTTCATTTAATATGTTCATCAACTAGTAATTTTGCACATTGATAATTTTGAAGGAAAAAAAAAATCCTTTCAGGTACCGTAAACGGCGTTATAAATGAGCACAAAAAGTAGGAGCATTTGCCAAGGTTAACTCCTAAATTCCAAAACTTGGGTCAAGTGAAAAGAAAAGGATTTTATGCTGACACTGTTCTCATTCTCGGTAAATGATATGAATGAGAATGTCACTTGGGATAATCATGGTTTTGTTGGA